CCTGATCATATCACCACAGAACTTAAAACATCCACAAAAATATTAGTTGTTCATCTAACTTATCTTTGCAATTGCATATGTTAATGCTTTTCATATAACATGACTGTTTCCAGTGCAAATCCAAAACATAACCTCATACTAGCTTCTATGAAGAAAATTAACTCTATCCCAGCCAAAACCAGCACAACTCAATTTTTGGAGAGTTTATAGCCATTGCAGTATTTTTCCTGCCTTTCCTAGACTCACCAGAGAATTTTCTGCATATGAATTGGAACTAAGCTTTAGGCACCATTCACATTACACTTTGATCCAATAATGCAACGAAGGAAAATTCAGAATGCTAAAGATAAGCATTGTGGGGAGGGAGTGTTGGTATGGCCAGTGTAAAGACAGCTTTATTTTAACTTTGTATTATTTTGGGTTACTTTTAGGGGAGTTTTATGTTTCATAAATTCAGACCTGTCAATCAACTGCGGCATCTTCTTGTTAGCAATATAGGTGGAGATGGAGAAGAGATTGAAAGATTTTTTGAGTTGCATCAGGTAAGAACTTTTGTGGAAGATTTATAATATTTATGTAAATCCAATAGCTTTCTTTAGCATGTGTCCTTTTTTTTGTTGTTGTTGCTACAAACTTCTAGTTAGCATTTCATTTATTGATTTAAGTATTAGCTTTTCCTCCTGTGTTGTCTGCATAAAACAAGATTGTATAATGAGAAATAATTTCTCATTTTTATGATATCTAAAAATGGAAGTGTAATTCACTTTTCCTGAAATTTTTATATTTCTCATACGCAGATATATAATGGAGTTCTTAGTTTAGGAAAGGAGTTAATCTAAGACCGGGGAGGAAGAGTTTCTAAAAAGGTTAAATTCCTACCACTAGAAGAGGTTTTTACATTTTGAAGGCCAGTACAAATGTGTAAACTGGTCTATTTTTTTGTTTAAGGTAAATAACAGACAAGCAGGAAGGAAGCTGTCGTGGATTACAATTTTAATTTGACTAGTACTGATTAGTATCTGTAGTGAATGTTCACTGTAATCTATTCTCTTGTGCTTTGATAAGACATACTAAGTGATATTTTAACATGCTATTAGAATATGCAAACCATTATTACTTATATAGATTTTTTTCTTCAAATACAATCTTAATTTACATTTCTGTAGAAATTTCATTAATCTTAGTCATAATTAGGTGATAGACATGGAGATTGTTTCCTACCAGTAACCTTACTGAGTTTGCAAAAAATGTGTATAACAAAAGCTTACCTGCTACAGTGGGATGCCTCACTATGATTCACTTCCTGTCTATAATTGGGAAGAGCTGATTTCCTTGCCTTTTAAATAAAATGATGCAAGAAGTATTTACTGTTTAGTTATTGACCAATATAACTTCTGTATATTTCTTATCAACTTGATATAAGCTGCCACACTAATAGTATAATATGCTCTAGGAGGATCAGGCCTGTGCCACTTGCTTTATCTTGGCCTGTTCTAATGCCGCGTGTGACAGAGAAGTGTCTGCCTGGGCTATGCGAGCATTCTTCAGGTAAGTTTCAATTCTTTAGGTTGTTCTGAATATTATGCTCAGGATCACTCCAGCCACTAAATTATCGTACAGGCTCTTTAATCGTAGAATCATAGAATCGTTAAGGTCGGAAAAGACCTTTAAGATCATCGAGTCCAACCGTTAACCTAGGACTGCCAAGACCACCACTAAACCATGTCCCTAAGCGCCATGTCTATACAAATAACTCCAGGGATGGGGACTCAACCACTTCCCTGGGCAGCCTGTTCCAGTGCCTGACTACTCTTTCAGTGAAGGGTTAAAGATACTAAAGCATAAGCCTGATTTTGAGACTTGGCAAATTTCTCTTTAAAGCCTGATCATATCACCACAGAACTTAAAACATCCACAAAAATATTAGTTGTTCATCTAACTTATCTTTGCAATTGCATATGTTAATGCTTTTCATATAACATGTATTATGTTAGTTTTCTTGTGCCAAAAGTATGAGTCACAAATATTTCTGAAAAGTTATGCTGTTTTTTTTGTTTTTTTTTTAATTTTTATTCCCCATTTTAGAAGAACCCCAAAATTGCTGTTAATTCTCAAAGACATGAAATTTAAATGGACTGTGTATGAAGTGTGAGGAATTTTTGTCTTGGCATGTAAACTTTAGGTATGGTGGAGAAGCACAAATGTGATTTCCGTCAGCTCTGCCTCCTCCAAGCAACGTTGGACTTATTTTCAGTTCTTCTGTTCCTGCCAGTGAGTAGCAAGCATTTCATGGTTTTGGACAGTTAAGTATTCACAGCTGAATCTGAGGTCATGGACAGTTCTGTTCTAGACTCATTTGGGCAAAAAAGCAGACTTGGGATGCCTCAAACTGAATGTCCCAAGTTAACAGTGTTGCTGCAGTGTTGCTGGCCAACTGCCCTATGTAAAAAAAATCAGAGTAATAATACTAGTTTCTTTCAGTTGAATGCTTTGAAGGTAAAATTGGTATTCTTTGAAAAGATCTTAATGACCGAAAGTGAGTGCTTTGAGAGTAGATGCCCATATCAGGTACGGGAGCAGTCAGAAGATGAAGAACAAGAAAAAGTATGTGGACGGTATTATATTCAATGCAGGGAACAGATGGTGTGCAATAAATAACACATGAATGCTGAAAAAAATGCTTAATAACTGCCATTGAAAGAATCATATCCATTTGGGTCATTTATGGAATGTTGGGTCCATCAGAAATGAGTGCAATTTGGTCTTTAACTATAACTAAAAGCTGTTGGAATGGATTTGTGGAAGGGTCCTGTATAGCTACTAAATTCTATGTTTTCTAACTTTAAAGTACGTGATTTGACAACTTTGCTGCTTTTGCACAAGGTTTTTAGGGTTTGTTTTCTGTTTTGTTTGGGTTTTTTAAACAAACTTACTTTTATTTCTTTTCCTTTTTAGTTTCCCATTTGACCGTTGATAGTCCATATCCTAATCCTAGCTTTTTGACAACACCTGGGCAAGGTAAGGACTTCTTTTCCTTTGCTGGAGAAATGGAGAATTTTTTTTTCAACTAGTTTTTTTTATTTGCATCAAAAATAATTGGAGTAATATTTGCCTACCTTTACCTTAGGTTTACAACCTCCTAGTATGTCAACCCCCATGTTTCCTTCTGGGAATTCCGTGTCTCACCCTGGTATATCCGTTAGCAGTATGATGGGTCCCGAGATAGTATTTTCTGAAAGACACAATGGCATCTGCATATACTTCGCTCGGATTATAGGGTGAAGTGTTTGTGTAAAAAGAGATTCTGTCACTCAATTTGTTTCATAGTTTTCTGTCCTTTAATGCTTGTAGGTGGTGAATTCTATCTTAATAGCATTTAAATTTGAAACTAGTAAATACACTTATGTTGTGCTTATGAAGTACCTGTTGAATATAATAGGTTCTCTTTATAACTCTATTAATAATACATTCAGTGAACGGCTAGGACAGGAAAGTTGCTTAGACATTGATCCTGCAATCAAGTGTATATGCACAACTTTGAAAACTGCTGGTTTATTTTTCAATCTTATGAGCTGTATGTTTTCAACTCCTATTAAAGGATGAAACAGAAATGCAGAAGGACTTACAGGATCAAAATCCTGGCTTGAAGTTTTTTCTGTTAAGAAGCTTTAAACAGCATGCTCAAATCAGAGCAATGAAGCAAGACTAAAGAGGATTCTGTTACTTGGATGTTGGGTCCTGTGTTACTAAACACCCCAAGCAAGAACAGAGCTCTTCATGCACTGGTCATCTCTCTGTATGCTGGTTGGGAAAGAAATATTTGTTATGACACTTGTTTGCCTACATTATGTTTCCAGAGAATAGTATTGACCCATATATAAAATATTTGAGAGCATCAAACTCCACTTGATTAAAGTTTAAAGTTTAAAATGACTTCTTAAATGTTATCTGGAACATGATTATTCAAGCCATACATGTAATATGCTCCAACATATACGTAAAAATATTACTTTTCTGTCCTTTAGGCGCACAAACCAAAGGTAATAACATTAATGAATTACTAGTAAACTACGCTTACCAAATATATTACAGAATATTCCAGAAAAGATGCATCTCACCTGGACAGCATATCAGTAGCAGCACATAATCAGTCTTAAAAGCTTTAATTGTACCATTTTCCTATAGTTCTAGCTTGTACCATTCCTAGTCCATTAAGACCTACCTTTCTCAATGATTTCTTGCCAAAACAGGATCAGAATGACCCGCACAATGTATAATTGCAGGCTTACACTCTGAGAGCTTAAAAGGGCCAGCAAATTCTCCATACAGCCGAAAGAAAGGTTTTATATTTCAAGTAGGATAAAAAGGAATTTTTTAAAATCAACTTTTCTTTATTTTGTATGGTAGACATTAGACTAGTAAAGGTACAACTTAAGTAACTTGTCAAACACTAAATGAAAATTATTTTTATTTACTACATTTAGTTTTACCTCTTAAATACAATCCCCAATTTTATATGAAGTTATAATTAATACCATTAATTTTCTAACATGACACTCCCAATAAATCAAGAAATCTAAGAGGCTTAATAAAGAAGATAAATACACGAAAGAAATTAAAGTACTAAAAATTGAAGGAATATCAAAGTACAGAAAAAGACAGTCTAGGGTAACACAGACATTCTGAGACCAGGAATACTGTAATGTTTCTTGTATTTGAAGATAGATCCTTGCAACCTTGTTTAAAAAAAACCCCAAAGAAGATTGGATTAATTTAATCAAAGCTTAAGAACACACCCAGAATTAACTTTAACTTATTTAAATGTAGAAATGTTACTGTCTTACACCTCAAAGTCTCCTATCAGCTGCATAACTTTGCCATGTTGTGAAGAAAGCACAGAAAACTGTTTCTACAGAACTGGTAATAAAAATATCATGTGCCAACGAGACAAAGCGAAATAATAAATTTACAGTGTAGCTTAGATTAATATTTTTTCTTACTTCCATTTTCTCTTCCAGTTCATGTAGGAATTCACCATCTGCAGCTATAGAGGATATGGCAGTGGAACTTTTGGCACTCAAAATGGCACATGCAATGTATTCAAGACGCTGCTGAAGAGAAATTTCTGTGCTGCAAAACAAATATTCAAAGTGTAAAATGGGTACTTAGTATAATTATTTGAGGGTTAGTTATATTCTTACTAGATCCTGGGAATGTGACTTCTCCTGATTTTACTAAATCATGCATGAGATTACCCAACCATGTAAACCCCATCTTTGTGCAGGCTCAGTTTTAGAGTACTTCTCAATCCACTGCTCCACAGTTACACTATCAATCACATTATAAAGTTCTGTGTAAGAAATGACCACTTAATATATGGTACTTAAAACAGGAAATACATTGCAAGCTAATGAATAATACATAAAATAAATATTTCATTTTTTCCCAATAATGCCATGGATTAAAAACTAACATATTCCATTCATTTAAAATTTTTTTTGCAGATGTCCTTGGGCATCGTCCTTTTCTTGTCCTTGTCCTTTTCTTAAAATACCTAAATTAGGTATTTTAAAATACCTAAATTAAGTATTTTAAAATACCTGTTAGGTATTTTAAGAAAACCTATTAGGTTTTGATTTTATTTTTCAATTACCTCAATATATGCAATAGATCACACATAATCCATACCTATGCAGGTTGGCCAACTTAGCCAAGACTCTGGCTGCATTACTAAAATTTCTGTTCTTTTCAAAGTATCTCCAAAGTAAATCTATATATTTGACTTTGTTTGGGTCAATCTTGGTCATCTGCACAAGGTAGGGTTCCAAAAAGGGGGCAGTCACCTGCAAAGGTCATAAAGATAACATTTATATTCTTGCGCTCTCCTCTTTTTTTAAAGCATCAGCATTATTACTGATAATACTGATACTTCCAGCCCAGTGGAACCATCCAACAAATTATTTCCTTGAATAGAGATGAGCTCACCTGTAACAGTTTGTCAGCCAAATCAACTTGTATCAACCAGTTATAAAGTGAAATACTAAAGAGTTCATCTGTTGAACGCTGAGCCAGCTTTAGCATTTGTTCAAACTAAGGGAAGAAAAGGCCAAAGCTGCTATTCCAGAAGTGGTTACATTACATCAAGCACTATGTATGCATGCGACAATATTTAGGTTCATATGTTATTTGCATATCATCATTTTTTATGAACACTCTGTACATAAAGAAGCCAATTCATGACAAATCTTGACGATTATCTACTTCACTAAACTATTCCATTTTTTTTTTAAATAATAAATTCTACACCCCTTCAAATCACACTATTTCTGGAGTGCAGTCATGATTTTTTTTTTTTTGTAAGTTTCTTACATGGTGTCCTGCTTCTTCATTGCTTAGCATGTTGGGGTCAGACGACAGCACTGGAGGACCTGGCTTTTTGGGTACACTGGGAGACTGAGGAGCAACTTTACTTTGATTTACTAACTCTTGAAGGGTGTCAGTGATACACTTGTAGCTATTCATTCTGTAAATAGAGCAAAAGAAAATAAAAGCCTCACAATTTTCATTGCAACTATCTGAAATGCTCTTCTCAAATGTTGTTATTGTATGCCTTTGTAAACATAATTACTAAAATGAAAAAAGGTCATAGATTATTGTCAGCTAGTTGCCACAATATCTAGTTTGTTCTCAATCATCTAACAAATATTTCTGTAATGTTCAGATCACAATGTTTTCTGCATATATCAGTTTACCCTCTGTTCCAAATTAAGTTGGTGCCGTATCAATGATAATCAAGGAAATAATGTTGGGCAAAACCATCTATATTCTGTCCCTTATTATAAAATGCTTGTTTGTCATTACCCTCCATACCTTCCCCAAAAGAGCTGCTTTTCCAGTCACCTGAAATAAAGCACCCCATATAACGGTAACAAGGTATCCTGAAAACTTGCCTCTCTTGAAAAGCTTGGAGTCCAACAACATCCTCTTCTGGTTCCCCATTTTTATAGAAATGAAGGCCAAGACCTTGGGGATCTTTCTTCTCAGCAGCTGTAAGAGAGAGTTCTACTACTCCCTCATAGAAACGCACTAGGAAAAAAAAGACCAAATAGCACTGTTCATTACTGTATTAAATCTATTACAAAATAGTAAGTGACATCAAACACTTCCCATTTTAGCAAGCAAGAAAAAATAAACCTTATTCACTCTGGTCTGTACCTTATGAAGGTTTATGTCTGTGCTGCAGCAGGTATACCTCTGAAGGGATTGTGGCCCAAGGATAAGTCCACACTGGAGAAGGTACACCTCGAAGCACCTGTGGCTGTGGATAAGTCCATTCTGCAGCAGGTACACCTTGAAGCATCAGTGGCTGTGCATGAGGTCATGCTGGAGCACCTCAAAGCGTGTGGCCATGGATAAGCCCACGACAGAGCAGGTACTCCCCTGGAGGGACTGCAGCTATAGGTAAAGCCATGTTGGAGCAGGTTTACTTCTGAAGGGACTGTAGCTGTGGGTAAGGCCATGTTGGAGCAGGTATATCTCTGAAGGCATTGTGGCCCATGGAGAAGGCCACGCTGGAACAGGTGCACCTCTAAGCGAGTGTGGCTGTGGATAAGTCTATGCCACAGCAGGTATGCCCCTGGAAAGACTGTGTGTATGGTGAGCAATTGTATAGTGTATCACTTGCTTTGTATATTATTATTATTATTATTATTATTATTATTATTATTATTATTATTATTATTATTATTATTATTATTATTATTATTATTATTATT